CCCCCCCGCCCCCAAAAAGCATCTACATCATTATATACTGTACCACTCCAGGTAACGCTTTAAATTATAACCTCTCCAATAATCAAGACTCAAAATGCAACAGCAGTCAGCAGAATCCTCTAACACTAAAGAGGCCATTGTGGTGGCTTCTTCTGCCACCTGAACGTGCTAAGGATTCCTGCTGACCTGTGCAAGATGGACTTGTCATAGAGTTCCCCTTCCGGCATCTTCATGATTGCAAATTCTTCCTGAGTCACAAGACACAGGGCTGGGTTTTCCAGGGAGGCAGAAATGGTGCTGATCAGCTGAGGGAGGACTTTAGCAGGCAACAGGACAGAGAGCAAGCCGACTGCGTTCAGGGACGACTACAGGAGGAGAAAGGGAGAAGAAAACTGGTCTCGGGATTTCCTCTCACTGTGAATTTAATTCACAATGTCCAAGGCCGTTACTCTGTAACATTTGCTCTGGATTGACCAGTCACAGGAGAGGCCACAATTGTAATCACACCCAGTCTAGTGTTCCAGATCCAGAAGTGTAAAGGTCATTGCAGGCCATTCCCCCAGGTCAAATTAAGTCACCTGATTCATTGGGCTCTGGGTGATGATGCGGTTGAAGATTTTTTCCAGGTGTTTGGTAATGAAGTCAACAGGGTCCAGCTTCATCTTGATCAGGAGGGCAGGCCAAAGGCCAGGCTGTCCTGCTACTAAAAGAGAGGAACCAATGCCAGGGGCTTCCCAAAAGCCCAATCACCAATGCCCTTCTCTCACACGCCCAGGCACGACCTCCCCCTTTGCTCACCCAAAGAAGGATGACTGCTCACAAGCAGCATTTCCAAGACTAACTTTTCTTTCTCCTCCGGTTCTCCTTCCATCCCTGGCCCACACGAGATCACACACAAGGCTTCCTGGAGGATACGTGGAGGGATGTATGTCTTGCCCTGTTCGGACAGCTCTCCAGACTCAGTTACCAAGGCCTCGAGGGGAAGCACCTAACCAATTTGTAAATAAAGTAAAAGAGCACCTGATTGTAAGGTTTACTCCAAACATTTGGGAGAATGTTTTACCCAGCAGAACGACGGTGTAAAAAGCTGTTTATTGTGTCACAAGTTACAAAGTGAGATGGGCTTACATCCAAGCAGTTTTCTTGGTTGCAGTGAAAAGTGGTTTGCCATCACTAACCGAGGAGATACTGTGGAGTCCTTGGTGCTCTCTGAGCTTGCTTGTTACCCAGATAGGTAACTTCATCAGGGTGAACCCCACCCTCCTGATGATGTTACCTCGTTGGGTAATGAAACGTCTGCAAGAAAACCATCAAATTCAGAGGGCATCAAGGACTCCATAGTTCAACCCTGGGCTACAGATATTCTCTTCTACTGAGTGAATGCTTTTTAAAATTTACCCTCTTACATTACCCTTTTCCCCACCTCTCTGTGGACTCATGGTATCACCCCAGCCAAGTAGTCATCTGCTGCTCACACGCTCCATTAAAATTCTACCTCTCAAAATGACAACCGGACCCTTCATCTGTACTGATTCTTATTTCAGATTTTACCCCTGACAGGCAACTACAGATCTAATTAAATGCTCCAGGTGTCATTCAGATAGATTGGGGCTGAAACTCCCAGAATGCCTAGGGAGCCCCAACACATCTGGAAGGAACCCAGCTAGGGAAAGGATGCTGTTCCCCCAAAGCCATTTTCAGTGATCTGGCTTGCTCAGCCACCCACCCCCCCAACGCCTGATTTCAGACTGTTTCAAGCAGCTCTGAAGTTAGCTAAGAAGTCGGGGATGTTTACCTTATGTAAAGCGAGAACCGCTTTTAGCTCTTCTAAAAGCCCATAAGCTAACTTGAATCCTCTTGGTAAAGATAAGAGCTTTCTCACAGTCTGCTGGGCGAGCCTCCGGACGCCCCAGGACCGGCTGAGGAGGACGGCGGTCAAGGCTTTGTAATACTGCCTGGAAGCGAGAAGACAGCCAGATAAAGTTGGGGAGAGACAAACAGGAAATGGATGATGATGTAAAGTTTCAGGAACCCTTTTCAAAAGAAGCTTGTGAAGAGTAAACGAAGCCAGCTGACATACAGTCACCCCTACAACTCCCGAGCCTAGCGGATGGTGGGAAAACAGAAAGGAATGAAAGTCTCAAAATGCAGAACCAGAGACACAAGGAAGAACATCGTGATTATATCCACAAAATTAACAGTGAGTGCTATGCATTTCATCCCAGAAGCTAGGCTTCATCAAGGCAAATACTGGAAACCCCTGCGATACTTGATCCATGACCACAGAGTAAAGATGCATCCAAAATGTGTTCCCTGTGTGAGACCAAGCTACACTTACTGGATTTTAGCTCCGGGTAACCGACATTCGTGGTCTAAGAGAAGGCGCTCGGTCAGCTGTAGAACTGTGCACATCACTGCAGGGGGGAAAAAACAGATCTATATGGAGGTTAGTTGCCTTTTGTGAGCCAGCTGCAAATTCATAGGGTTGCTGAGTATCAGACTTCCTTTAAACAGCTTGCCAGCCCTTCTGGTTACAAAGACGTGCTTAAAAAAGATGTGCAAACATCCAGAGAAAAGTGCTGGGGAGATTAAAGAAACATCTCAGTCCAAAACACTAAGCGACTGAAAGAGATATCGCAGAGGTAAATAACTAGATGCCTTCCATATGTTTTGGAATACAGCCATTCATAAGCTCCACACAGCACAGTGCGTGGCCAGAATTTATAAGAATCACTGTCCAAAATTTTTGGTGGACTGAAAAGTATCCTTTGTTCTACAAACTAATTTGGGATCTAGGGGTAGATCTCCGAGTTCTTTTCAAGGATTCCAGTTCTCCAGTTGTTTAATAATGAAAAGAACTAGCAGAGGAAGAGCGACACATCCGGCCTTCCATGTCCATAACATGCCAGTTTTGTTAATAAAACCATTCTGCAGAATTCCAGAGTTAGTAAAGGCAGGGTTTACGAGAGGTGAGGAACTGGTTTTGCTTCTCACCCTCCTCTGAAGCGGATTGGAGGAACTTCTCAGAAGTGAAGATCTGTTTTTTCTCATCCAAAATGAGCTGCCAGAAGCTGTTCAATTTGTTTTCTGGGAAGTGTGGAATAAAAAAAAGGAAATTAGCAGACAGTTCACACCGTACTTTACTGTCATGCCTTCTATAAGGCAACCTATGCAAATCAGTATATTTCATGCAAACAGATTTAATCTCAAGGTAGTGGCTACTTTTTTTCCGGACATTCCACATGGTAACTACCTCGAAATCTGATTTCTAAGAATGTAAGAAGAACCAGGTTGGGTCAAACCATAGGCTTAGCTACTCATGATCCTCCTTCCCATAAAGGCTAACTAGAGAACTGAAGACAGTTCTATAGACAGGACACAAGGATGGTATCACCTTCCTGCTTGCGTTCTTCAGCAACTGGCATTACAAGGCCAGCATGGCGTAGAGCTTAACGTATTCAATTTCAGTTGGGGCGGGGGGGGGTCCAGCTAAGCCTCCACTTGAGTACAGATCAATTATTACCACTTCTCTTGCCTTTTCCAACAAATGCTAATTAGGGCTCATTTTAAATTCAGTTTTAACCAGAAACAAATTTCAAATCCTCCAGGAAAGATGAATCTGGTTAGCATTAACTGCCGTTAGCAGCCAGAAACAGGTTTTAATAATTGGTTAATGTTATTGGGAGAGATAAAATGTAGAAGAAGAGGAATTATGCATCAAAATTATGCGTCAGGCTGGGGGCCAGGATGTCAGGTGAGCTCATCCTGGGGGGGGGTCAAATATACCTGATTATGCCCCCATTGTGTGATTTGTTCACTCGTTATTGGGGTCTTGGAACAACTTTGCTTTATGGCTGTCCACCACCTGGTGTC